AGAACGACGTATGAGCTTTCAGAAGTTTCCAAGTTTCTTCCGATAAAAACCAAATTAACTGAAACAATTGCGAATATTATTTTCCAAAATGTTCCAACAATTCTGTACGCAATCTAATCTTAAATATCTGAGAATGTCGAGGAAAAATATGCATGAATGCTGTTCAAAATACATGTTTTATCGAGGGGAATTTGGCAACTCTCGAATGTTCAAACGGCGTTCTTCCGAAAGGTTCAGTTACACGATCGAATTGAGCCATAAAACTGAAGCTCTGATAGGTGGAAAAAGCCCTGAGGTGAGGATGCGACCAATGAGAGGCCCAATTTGATGGCTCAATTTGATCGTGTAACTGGACCTTTAGCACGGAAGCATTGGCCAACACTATTCGAAGCAAACAATTTAAATGAAGAAATGTATTCTACCGGCGACGCCGACAAAAATTGAAACATTTTGTCATAAACAAGCACAAAATATTTAGGTAACTCACTGGTCCGACAACTATGGCGGGATATTAAACGGGGAGAATGCGCGGACCATTTTGCAGGCGAGCTGTTCCTCCAGTTTTCAATCATTCCTTTTGTTGCGGGAGACAGGGGGCGCCACCGTATACTTCCGGTTTGGGAAGTCAACCAATGAACGGACCCCCTGCCCAAGCCGTCCGGGGGAGGGGGGGGNCCGTCCGGGGGGGGGGGGGGGGGCTCCGTCCTCAATGGGGAAGAATAAAAATACGACTCTCCATTACTTCTCTTCTCCTTCATTTTTCATTTAATATAGCTGTATCCACTCCCGCACCACCCCGCCCTCCGGCCATAGCGATTGCCAAATCGTGCTGGAAAATCAGCTTTTCTTCATTGAGTCCTATGGGAATTATGCTAATTCTCAGCTGAATCTAGCTACTGCGCCGGCAATACTGCACTCAATTTACTTTTTTTTAATATTTCTGAAACCTTTCCTACTTCCTCTTCCCTGCGTCAAAATTTTGTCTCTTTCCTCCTTCTCTCCGCCACGGCGATTCATATTTCTTCGTCTCGATTTAGGTTAAGTCCTCTTAATTATTTGCGAGAGGAGCCTGTAGATTACAAGGTGGATTCCAGCGACATCGGAGGTTGAGTTTATTTGAAGAAATAGGAATGTTATTGCCTGTTTATTTCAAGTGCTGAAGTTCTTCGCGAGTGCTAAGCTTGGAGAGTCTTCTTCCTTGCCAGAACGAATAAAACCTGCCTACTCGACAAGTTGTTGAATAGAGAATACACACACTGACTGAAGAGGAAATACAATAATCAGGATTGAAAGATTTAGGAACCTAAAAAAACGCTTCGACGAAGATTCAAGCGAAAGGAAAAAGGATGGGTCTGATTCATGTTTATTTGATTTATTTGCCGCAGAAAAATAATAAAATCAAGCATTTTGTCGAATGCCTAGGCAAATGGTAAATCATTCTTACGTAGAGTGAAATTCTAATTCTTCACCTAATTTTAGGCAAAATATTGGTGGTAGTGCGAAACGGATGGAAATCGAAATCCCCGACTTTGTTTTAAACACAGCCGGTGGAACAAGATGCTTAAATTGTCATACCTTCGATAAGATTCGCCACTTTTTCTGCCGGAAGAATTACAAAAAAAAAGAAAGAAAAAAATAATTGCTTTGGTAGGAGGATTTTCTGTAAAAACACGGATCATGCAACAATATGTTAATTTATGTTCAGCTCCTGAATGAAAATGTACCTAAAAGTTTATATTAGAAATATTTGAAGTGGGAGAAACATGAAGAGTCTGTTTGTTGGGTTATTCGCCATAAATACAAAAAATGTTGTAAACTTTCAACATTTGACTGTTTGCCGAGGCATTTTGTCAAATGCCTGAGCAAATAGTCAAATATTCTTACTTAGGTTGAAAAGAGCCTCCCAAAATTTCGCCTCTTTTTCGGTATTCGATTCGACCATCAAACCAAGGTTTAATTGAAAACTTATAATAACAGAATACTCAGGAAAAACTTTCAAGATGAGTATAGGAACCGTTTTCGAGTTACGGGGGGGGGGGGGCATAAAGAGTCAAACTTCGGCCTTATCATTCCCTAGAATTTAGATTAGAATTAGATTTTCTTGTTGAATTGATGTGTCTACGGGGTTGTTATCGTTGTTTACACATGTTATACACACCGGTTCCTACGTATTTTTACAGGCAAAATCGAGTTTTAATGTTGACGAGTCGATAAATCGATCGGTTATATCGAATTTTTAAGATTCTTTCCGGAAAATCAACGATTTTTTGAGATTTAAATTGTTCATTTTTTATTCTTGGATGACTAAATGCATCAGAATTTTTTTAAATTCACAACCTCTTTTGAGTAAGTAGCGATCCTGAAAACGGCGACTCTTTCAGTTTCGCTTCAGAATACGATTACCGAGCCAAGGGACTTAAAATACACAATCTGATCCAGCCGCCTGCACTCTCTCCTTTGAAATAAGACGTAGAGACCAAAAACCGTCTTACTATATTTTCAAAATAATATTCCTCGGCATTTTTCGAATATGCGGCTCGATTTAAAACCCAAAATTATGAACTTTTTTGTCAACATCATTGTACAAGGCCACTCACAATGGGTACAGAATAGCGCCTTCATATCGATCCGTAAAAATAATGCAAAATTCTGATACCACTATTCGTGCGTCACGGCAGTCATTTTGCATATCCGGCAATTTGAAGGCGAATCATTGACTTCAGGCAACGGGGTACGAATAACAGCCATGCCATTCGATATTCCGCTCTGAAAAATACGTTTAAAAAATGTCGTAAATTTATATAAGTTTCACCGGTCCGTAAAATATCTAATCTCTCATATCCTTCTTACATTTTATGCCACTTTGACTTAACCACAGAATACTTTTTGGACCAGGACGCTCAAAAAAGCTCTAACTTTTCTCACGTATATGTGAAGTTAAGAGTCAATTCTAGACCCTCCAAATTCGATGCGATCATCATGATTCTTCAGTAAACTTACATTATAAACCGTCTTAATTCGCGCTTTTACGCAATTTTGCAACGGAACATTCTCCACGTTTTCTCCTCAAAACAGTATCCGCTTACCCGACGGAGCCGCCATCGCAGAAAAGTCTGTTAACTGGAGCAGAGACAACATATTTTAGACACCTTGCCTTCCTATATTTTCCACAGCGTAAAAGTTATTCGTCCTTTCCGAAGTTAACACTGAGATTTGCCGAATCATGACATGATTAACACAGAATTGAGACACTCGTTTATCAATCCCTACGCAATTTACGAAAACTCAGCACAAGAAAATGCTCTATTTAATATTTTGACTGCATTTTGGAATGTAGAATCTCCACGCAAACCTTTTAGTGCATCATCTCAAGAGCTGATTTCGCAGTATCTTTCAGAATTTTTTTTGAAATGGGAAAAAGTATAATAACAGATTTAAAAGTAAGAAAATGCACCACCTAGTAACGCCATCTGGCGGCATTTCCCAATTTAACACATACATTCCAGCAGATTTGATCGAATGGCCGAATTTCCTTCGATGAAATGTGTATTTCAGCGGAAAGAAATGCATCATTTTCCTGGAAATTTTCAGATTTATTAGATTAGATTGTGAACGAAATTATCAGGAAAAGTGGAAGACAATTTTTCAGAATTTTGACAGTAAATTCGGTTTTTCATTAAAGGAAATGTGACAACGTGTGAAGGCTCAACGGCGTTTTCCCTTATCGTGCCAGAGATGGTTAGTGCAGGGTCTTCATAATAATATACAGGATTACAGGGTGTCCCAGGATTAAGTACGATTATTGAAGGAGTTTATTCTTCGGGTCAAAAAGGACGTTTCCGTGGTATCACGTTTGTTCCAAGAAAACCTTCCCTGAAGGCCATGGCCTCCCAAAGTTGGAGAAAAAAAAAATCGTCTTTTTAACAGTAAGACAATCTTTATGAACCAATATTAATGAAAATTGGTATCTGGAGCCAATTTGTAGCGCTGTTTTCATTGCTGACCTCCCAAAAAAACGGAAACGGTATTGAGGGGGGTTTGAGGGGGGTACCGAACCTAAAAGTGGCCAAAATTAATGTTCCTAGCGACAAAAATTGATTTTTGACGGCACCACTAGATTCAGCGTTGAAAAGTATCGAGAACACGTCTCCTGCGTTTTTGCGCTATAACTTATCGTTTTCGAGTTAGTAGGGGATGATAGGGAGATATAAGGGGATAATGGGGCCCCCAGGGAAAGTGCTTTTGGTAAAAAAGTTATACCACAAAAACGTCTCCTACTGTCCTAAAGAAATGACTCCTTCAATATTCGTACTTGGATTGTATTTTGCAAAAAGGAACTAAGAGCATTTCAATGTTGCCACGATTGTGCAGTTTTCCTACCTCGCAAATATGAACTCCACTGGAAAAAAAACACATAGGATCTAGAGTCCAGACTCTTAAAAACATCGACAAGAAAAAACTCTTGATTCAATCGGATTTTTGCTTAAATCAAGAACCAAGCCTCTTAATTTGAGCGGATTTCCTTTTGATTTCAGCAAAACTCTGATTGAATCAAGAGTATTTTTCTTGTTAATGTTTTCAAGAGCTAGGACTCTAGATCCAATGAGTTTTTTTTCCAGTGTGATCATCTTAACAAGTTTTATCCTTACTCCCTGTAAATTCAAGACGAAAATTGCCTCTGTAATTTTTTTTTTTGCATGTCAGTAAATTAATTGCAAAGAATGTAAGTTTCACACTCCTGCAACATTTCAATGCTCTTGATTCCTTTTTGCAAAATGCAATCCACTTAATTCTGGGGCATTCTGTATTGCCCGCGGCTGGAAATGCATTTTGCAGGGTAGTTTGGCTCTTCTGCGGGGGTGGTTGGACGCGGTAGTTTGAGGGCGAGCGCGCGAGAGGGCGCGGGCTGCACCCTTGCCGACCACGTGCTTTAAGGGCTGTCACACCCTCCGACTCGGAGCTGCTGCCGTTTTCAGTCAACCCCCGCGACTCACCAGCAACTAGCGTCTCTTCGCGTTTCGTTTCTCCTCGCTTTTCGCGATCGCGCCGCTGACCGTCCTGGTTCGCGGACCATTCCAAATTTCGCCATTTTTTATCATAATTTCCAAGTTTCGTTGTTATTTATTCAGAAAATTTGACCACTCAACGAGACATGATTTTTATGAATAAGTGCATTTTTTGAACCCTCTCAAGTTTCGCTTGTGCATGAAGAATAATCAAGTTTGTACCTGGTAATTTCGCGCGATCGACCTTCAATAAAAATATCGTTTGATTAAGGACAGGTATGAAACCAAACTCATGTCACTTTTTCAAAAGAAGGAACATTAAAAAAAAAATTAACGAATAAATAAAACTATTCTAATAAAACCCGCAGTGAAGGAAGTGTCATCACGAAATTTTTCCTTGTTAGTTCTGTTTTCGCCTAATTTTTGTGTTTTAAAGTTAAATTTTTTGAAAATTTCCTTTTGTTTCTTTGGACAAATTTTCAACATGCAGCCCTAATGGTTTTTTAATATTTTTTCCTGCGATACAGCAAATCGATTTCGGTTTTTTTACTGTGATATAACAGCGTGACTACCTACTGCTTATAGAATCTTGATACAAATAGGTTTTAACGACAGTGAAACTACACCAAGTGCGAAACCATTTATGGAAACTCTCTTGAATGATCCATTCTAGTTTTGATTATGTTTTCGTGTCTAGTTTTACACAGTCATTTGACAATAATTTCTGGTATCAAAAACACGTTTTATGATTGATTTTAATACAATAGAACTTTTCAATGATTTATAGTGGCAGTAGGCATTTATAACATAATTCGTAGGTTATCAACTGATTTTTATCAGATAAATTGATAAAGCTAGTACATATTTGAATCAAATTTTTACTCGTTTTTGCATAAGTGAACATTCTTAAAAGTGATTGTACCCTCGGTTCCAGTTCTAGATATTGGATAACTTTGGTTCATCAGGTATGTTTCATATCTTTATTTCTTTCTCAACATATTTAGTATGCAAATTATTTGACCATGCAATGGCATAATTTCAGAATCACATTCGAAAAAATTATTCCTGCCTGTTCATCTGCAATTAATATTTTATGCATGTAATTGACAGTATATTTAAAGAATTTTCGATTGCGAATCCTTTCGGATCGGGTTAAAATGATATTTTGAAGAATTGTATGAAACAAGTTTTTCTGCAATCGGTACTTGAAAAAAAAAGAAAAGAAGCATTCGATGTTTTTAAAAAAAAGATCTGATCTAATTCTAAAGCTCGATGTTAATAATGAGTCTCATTAAGGTCTTCTATGAACGCCTCATGCCTGAGTTTTGTAAGGCTCTTGCACGTAGGATTGAATACAGATCCTATATTTGAGCGAATTTAACATATGATCCTATATATATGTGAAACATTAATACTATTCAGTGGCGATCATAAGATAATGAACTCCACCAAGAAGTAGCACCTGGTTTCATATTCGCATATTAAAGTAAACGTCAATCTCAAGACCTGGAAATCTTGCATAAACACCAACACTATTGTTCTGTATTCGATCCATTCTTATAAGGTAAGAGGATTACGGGTAGAACCTGGAGGGGACATGTTCGTAATCTCGAGAAAAGCGTATTTCAACTACGAGGATGAAAAACAGTAGGCTATTCTGCCGTGTTAAGGAAGAACGCCGTATGAACATTCGAGAGTTGTCAAATTTCCCTCGATAAAATATGTATTTTTGACAACATTCATGCGTATTTTTCCTTGAAATTCTCAGATATTTTAGATGAAATTGCGTACAAAATTGTCTGAAAATTTTGGAAAATAATATTCGCAATTTTCCCAGCAAAGTCGGTTTTTATCGGAGGAAACGTGGCACGTCTGCAGGCTCATACGTCGTTCTTCCTTAGCACGGCAGTACTCTACAGTGGCGAAGTCCATGCAGTATGTTGGTAACAAGGAACCCTCCAAGCAACTATTTTAACTCCCCGGAGCTCGAATTGCCTAGCAGGCTAATTGAAGGCGTTTTGTGGGACGAACATGCGTCCCGCTCGCTTTCAGAGACGATCTCTCTGAGGGCCGCATTGGTGCGGGGTTTTCATGATATTCCGTGTCTGATTGCTCTGCGGGCTGATTATATAAACTGATAGACAAAGCTATGGACAAAGAAGAAAAAGGGAAAATGAAGCGATTCTATTGCGGTGGAAGTGGGTGGTCGAAATGGATACAGGAGGTAGTTATAGACCAACTAACGGCAACCCATAGTCCACCAGTCTCTCCATTTGTCCTCTTTGTCTATAGCTTTGTCTTTCGATTTCGACAAGCAGCCCGCCAAAGGAGAGAAGAAATGAAGGGCGTGGAGGATAAGGCACATAAATGCAGTTTTTGCTGTTTCAAGAAACACGTTTTCAAAGTATCAAAATTACACGGGCCCTCACGGTGGAGAAAATTTGAACTCGTAATTTTATTTAGAGATCGGATTTTAGTGGCAAATTCTTTACAAAGTATGTTTTAAGACTGGTCTCCGTGGAATTTGTTAATATCGTATTCTTTTCAAAAACTGCACTTATGCTCCATGCCCTCCAAGTCACATAAATGAAAATGAAAGAAAAGACAGATGAACGAAAAAAATTGGTTCGAAGAAGATGATTTTCAACTTAGTATTCAGTATTGTATTTCCAATTTCCACGATCTCAGCTGAATTTGGTTTGAAACAATGCATTTTTTTTTTTAAATTCATATGATTGAAAAAGATAACTTCATTCCTTGTCTGTGGTACCATCTAAATGTATTTATTTCGTACCGAATTGATGAACTAATATGAAGAAGAACGATTTTGATTATTTAATCATCCACTCGGTATTATTGTGTTTCAACCTCTAATTCTTGTAAGAGAGAAGCCACGCCATCCGCTACAGGTTTGAAAACGATTAATCCTTTTTTTTTTTATATTTATTAAAAAAGAGGGGAATAGGAAACGAAAATCATTTCTCTCCCCCCCCCCCCCCCCCCCCATCCGCGATACCCTTTAACTGTATTTATTTCGTGATAAAATGATGGAGAAATATGAAGAAGAACATTCATGAGTATTTGATTTTCCACTCAGTATTATTGTATTCAGTGGCGTGGCGTGCTTTGCGATATATCGATTGCTATGTCATTTAAACGTATGGTAAAGGATCAATAAACAGGGTGTTCGCAGCGAACGCCTTAATAATCGATTCTTTATCATAGGTTTAAATGGCATAACAATCGATACATCGCAAAGCACGCCACGCCACTGTTGTAATCCCAATTCAAATAATTCTAGGAGAGTAGCCACAATTTCGGCTTATCGTTTAAAACAACGAATTCTATTTTTTTATTTTATTTTTATCGATGAAGAGGGGGAAAAATAAACGAAAAGCATTTCTTCCCGTATCCGGGATGCCCTCCAACTGTATTTATTTCGTAGCGAAATGACAGGAAGTGCCCGCGGATGGATTTAGGGTGGCGAAGTGACACGAGGGAGAACTGTATCCCGTGTTATTGGATTTTCGAACAGGAAGGTGTTAAAGCACAAGAAGATTTATGTGCTCCCACTTTTATTCTTCACACGTGCGTGGACAGAGACAATGTTTCGCTCCCGCGGGAGAATAATTAAAAATGCAGGAGGCCGGACAGGCGTGTGCCTTTCAATTGTCTTTTTGATTCATGACGCCATCTCTGCATCCTTTTCACTTGCGCCGCGCCCTTCCCGCGGGTTTTGTTTTCTTTGGATTTTCATTTTTAATGGATCCTTTTTTTTCGTTTTCATGAATTTTTCCGTAAATAGACCATCAGACTGCCTACGTTCATAAATGTCAGTAATTTGAAAAACGTGAAAAAGCTAAGATTATCCTCACTGAAAAAAAAAAATCTCGGTGTATCTACTAAGAAAAGGGTAAAATTACCAAGAATTCAGGGTTCTATTTGATCCCAGTTTTTTCTCGGTAAAATTACCATTTATGGAATTGGTAATTTTACCGAGAAATCTCGGTAAAATTAATGAACTTTCTGAGTAATTTTACTGGACTTTGGTAAAAACGCCAATATTTTTTATCGACTGTGGTAGAATCACCGAGATAAAATGGCAAAGTTACCGGGAATTGATTACCAATAAAAGCGGTATTCTTACCTGAAAAAACAGTAAAAATACCGGTTTTTGGGTAAGCTTACCAGTCTGTCTTTGTAAAATTACCAATAATTGGTAAAAAAGTGAGATGGTAAAGGTACCAACGGACCTCGGTAAAAACGCCGAGAATTTTTTTTCAGTACTTCATTCCCGCGTGATACCACATCACATACCTGGTTCGATCGCGCACTTGATCTCAGCATAGAATGATGCGAGAATAATGTCAACGTTCATAAATAGATAGAGTCCATCAGAAAGGAGCCAATCCACATAAAGTTTAAACTGAGGAGAATAGGTTCGAAGTTTTATTCCTGCGTAAGGCTCAATGTAGAAAATCAACTTCAACCCCTCATTTTACAAATTAATTTTTTTTTTTTCGACTTTCAGTTCCTGGCAGGAGAACATATGCCAGTGGAACTCAAAAATCTTCTTAACTCAGTTTTTTGGAGAATGCGGGGTGGCTCTGATGAACTCGGTCTTAATGTCAGTAATTTGAAAAAAGAAGCTCAGATTATCCTTCATTTTCGCGTGCTACCGCATCATAAACGTATTTCGGAGTTCGAATAGTTGGACGCCTAATTTCCCCGTGGAACGATGCGAGCATGATACCTACGTTCATAAATTTCCGTAATTTGAAACAAGTGAAAAAGCCAAGGTTATCCTTCATTTCCGCGTGATACCACATCACAAACCTAGTTCGGAGTTCGAGTAGTTGTGCGCTTGATTTCTGCAATGCCTACATTCTTCAGCGTCAGTAATTTGAGGGAAGTGAAAAGCGCAGATAATTATCCTTCATTTCCACGTAATACTACATCACATACCCAGCTCGGAGTTCAAATAGTTCCGCGCTTGATTTCCACGTTAGCTATCTAAGGAGAGGGATTTCTTATACTCGTCGTCTCCGCGGAACGTTTCACGAGATATTTCCCAAGTTCAAATCAGAGGATTGAGACTTCTGGGTTTTTCCCTCGTCAAACCACACGAAAAAATGTCCGCAACGTCTGAAGCGCAAAGCACTTGGGGGGGGGGGGGGGGGGTTTGGATTGCGAAGTGGTCAGAGGATGTGCCCCCTAGTAATGAGCACTGGAAATGACAAGTCCCTTAAATCTAGAGTTCAGGCTCCTAAAAAATTTGACACGAAAAAATACACTCGATTTAATCGGATGTTTGCTTGAATCGAGAGCCAAGCCTCTTAATTTAAGTGAATATCCTTTTGATTCAAGCAAACATCCGATTGAGTCAAGAATAGTTTTTCTCGTCATATTTAAGAGTCTGGACTCTGGATCCATGCGACTTTTATTTCTAGTGATTCTCCAGTATTTCCTCAATTTCAGAATTTTCTAAATCGTGCGAATTCTTTTTTCTTTTAAAAAAATAGTGAATATCGATGGCTAAAGTGCAAAATCACGTATCTACATTGCGGCGTTTCACAACCTCTACTCTTATTTCATTTTTTCGAGGAAAAAGCAAGTCAACAATGTAACTTGAAATTTCTGCAGAATATTCTGCTGATATGGGAGGAAAGTCAAGGGAAGTTTTCAGGAAATCGAGATAATTAGGATGAAAAAATGAAGTATGACGTCAGTTCTGCAACGTTGCAAACGAAGATACGTAGTTCCGCACTTTTACCATCGATATATTTACAATAATAAAATATTCACGTTTGCTATCCTTTAAAATTAAACATTACTCGGCAAAAAAAAAGCGAAGACGCTTTTCAGATAAAAAGATGAGGATCTTACAACACTAATCGAGTTGGATCCTTTCCGTTTAATGCAATCCAAATACTGTATAATATGAAGCACGTAGCGGTACTGCCGT